AAATATTGTTAGAGAAAGGTCATGCAAACCTGAAAAGTGTTGCATTGATTTTTTTTAAACTGTGAAACCTATGATTGTATATACACTTCTTGTAATTCCAATTTTAATTGAGAACATAATTTATTGTGATGATTTTCTTTTCTATTTATAAAGCTTATAAATATGTCACTGCCAGAATAATTAGCATAATTGAAGTTTCACATTCATGCAATACTGTGATGGTAAAAAAAAATTCAAAACCTCAATAAGCTAGGGTGAAAATTAGATATTTTCCCCATTAATGATGAAGAGAGCTATTTATTGACACTTGAGGGAATTAATTAATTTCAATGAAGATTTTCATATTGTTGTTTCAATTTTTCATATATATATATAGCTGGAATATGGGGAAGATGTTTGGCATGATGTTCTGGAAAAGGCTTCTCTGGCAAGAAACACTATTTTTTCCACACATCAAATCTACCCAGATTCAATCATAGGTGACATTGCTACTTCTTGTGCTGAACTCACTGGTTTTGGGTCCACAACAGATGACTTTTTTGAGTTTTTTGGTCGCTGTTTTGTGAGGTGAGGCAATGACAACTTCCCCACTTCATCACTAGCATTCACTTATTGGTATAGTTGTATAGTCACATGCTATGAGTACAGCATTGACCAGCACTTTGGAGTGTCCCCTTGTTATTTCTTGTTCTGTTGTGCTTAGCTAGTGCACAACTGCACTTGACATTCCATTGATACCCAGAATGCATTTCTACATCATTCTGATGTTATTTGTTTGCTGTGCAAAAAAGTATGTCAACACCGATCGAAATTGGTTGCTACACTTTCCTTGACCTCATCTATACAAATCTATAAATACACCGGGTATCTTCTATCTTGGAGTAAGTTAACTGTTACCAGACTTTGGTGCAAAACCTTGTTATTATTGCTCTGCTCTACAAAGTGTTATCAATTTATCTGTGCTGTGTATACAAATTAATAAAGACACTTCCTTAAAATTTCATCTGATCAGAGTCTAATTTGTACTCCTCAAAAGCATGCAGAAAACAATCTAAATCTCCAAAACACAAGTCTATATTTTGGTTGAACAATTTAATAACCATGAAGAAATTTGTCTGGTTACCAGCAATTTCAAGATCAAGGATTTCACTTTTCCTTGCAAATTTAGGACCACAAGGTTAATGTTTTAAAGTTTCTGAAAGTCATAGAAAATTATCATCAGCAAGGCAGGCAAAAGTTGTATGTTATTTCAAGAAACATTTTCTGCATGTATTCATAAGTGCAAAAGTCTCTTCGGTTTGCCAATTTGTTATAGCTATCACTTTTATCTGAGGTAGGAACATGTATGACTTGCACAATATATAACCTCTGAAATGTTCTTCATGAAGAAAAGGTGGCTAAACAGTATTCAGTTGAAAATTTTAGCACAGTTTTATTTTCATTTTTGAGGGGCAATAAACATTTTACTCACATCTTTCACACTTTCAAAAGGTTTTGGAGTCATTATGGGTATGACAAATTTGTCCGTGCAAGTGGCAGAACATTCAGGGACTTCTTGCAAGGCATTGACAACATTCATCATCAAATGAGGTTTGGGTATCCAAAGATGATCAGTCCATCCATGTTTGTCACTCAAGAGCATGCTGGTGGAGCTCTTCTGCATTACAAGTATGTAAAAATATGTAGTATTGGATGCATACCAACTGGCTATAACTTGAATGCACAATTGCAGCATATTTAAACAGTTTTGTTTTCTAAAACTTGAAGTTTATACAGAAACAAATTTTATTAAAAATCTTTTTGGGCTGATGTATAATTTTTGAAAAAAAGGAGAACCAATTAAAAAAGTTATTCACAAGGAGAACCAATTAAGGAAAAGTTATACATTAGCATTGAAGTCTAAGGGAAAATGTGACTCAACTTAGGGAGATTCCAACATCAGGACACTCTTGATTTAGCAATGATGTCCACATCTTGAGGGCTCACTGTATTTAAAACCTGATGCAGGCAATCATGTAATCCAGCATCCGTTACAGCGTGTGACTGCTGAAGCCAATTTTTTCTCAATACTGTTCAGTTTTCCAAACAATGCTGAAAATGTGAGGAAGCCAGAAGATCAAAGCATAATTGATTATTGACAGGTGTCATGTGAAAAAGCATTTACCAATTACAATAATAATTAGGAAAAATATTGTTGTAACAAACTATTATCCAGTGTGATAAACTTATTGTTCTGTGAACCCCAAGAGTTTTTTGAATGAATGAATGAACAGAAAGCTTCATTTTTTGCATTTCAGCATTCACGAGGTTCAATCAACATTCCCACATCAAAACCCCCTCCCCACCCAACCCAAATCCATTCAATCACTTCAGAATGGGAAACAGGAAAAAAAAGATGCACAGGGATACCAGAATAAAAGCAAATACATCCTACAATATGTTCAACACTGTGCAACTGATGTTTATGTTTACATCACCTTTTCCCCCTCACATTGGAAGCAAATTATCAGTAACAAGAATTTCAGCATAACCCAGAATTATTGCAATTGCACCACAGTTACTGAACCCAGTTTAAAGCACATGGTCTTCACTCTTCAGCCTGTCCCCAGATGAGGTTTAGTTGAATGAACAGTTTAGAGAGAATCTTTGATGAGAAATCATATAAGGCCAACAGTTTATCTTAATTGATCCTCTATGATTTCAGAAAGGGTCTCTTCATTGAATTTCAATACTTGTACATCTTTCTTAAGCTCATTTCCATCAGTATGTGTTGTGCCTAGAATGAGAGGCTACACACAATTGTAAGCTAACAGTCAAATAACTCCAAATTTTAGAGTTGGGTGCCCCAGCTAGGTCACTGAGTAAGCACCTGAGTTGAATGGATGGTTGTTGTGGAAGTGGTCAGGTCAAATATTTGTTCAGACCAGAGGACCAGGGACATCAGTTATAGGATGGTATGGGCACAATCCACACAAAGTTGCTGCTCACTTTTTGAGGAACTGACTGGTGTGGAAAAATAAAGCAAACTCCAGAGAAATCGCTATCCACAAATTTATTCACAAGACATATATGGTGAATTTACAGTTTCCAACAAAGAGCAAGCTTAAGAGATTATTTCAATCAAGCATGTGTGCAAATGGTTTGCCTGTAATACAAATGACAAATACATGATCAAATTGTAAACAGGGCAGTACAAAGTATACATCAGAATACATTCCCCACAATTGGGGAGCAACTCAGAACCACCCTTCCCAAAACAGAGCTCAGAGATGACTGGTTCTAAACCAGGAAGAAATCCTGAGTCAAGAAAAAGGGGGTGGAAGGACAGGAAGCCAGATCCCCTTAGCAGCCTTCAAAAGAACTGTGAAAACAAGCTTAAGTGTCAGCAGCTGCATAGCAGCTGCCTGGGACCCCTCCCTTCTCAATTTCCTTCAACAAGGGGAAGTCAAGGCTAAGATGGCTGACTCAAAGGTGCCAGCCTTGTCAACTTGGCATTACTGTTGCTAACCAATAAAACATAAATGCCTTGAATTGGGAATTCCCACCTCAGCAAGAATAAAACCAGGACAAAAAATACAGATCAATGGTCAAGGTCTACTAAATTCACAGATAAGACTCTTGACAAACAATGCACAAAGAACTGGCTTCACTCCATCCCTCAACAGCATGAATCTAGTGCTGGACAAATAGTTTCCCCAATGTCAATCTTGGAATCATGGAATAATAGGGGATGAAATTTCAACCCAAAGATTTGCAGGTCAACGTCAACTCAAGAATTTTTGTCCATGTTGACCCAAGGGTCCTTGCCTGTGGCGCCGAGCGAGAATCCTTGCTCCGTCATGCTGGCCTCACAAAATAGAGGTTGCAGCTTTGACAAGTATGGAATGCTGGGCATAAAGAAGAGAAGGTGCTCTGGAAATGCACCAATCAAAGTATTTATGCTGCAGGAATTACACCATTTTTTAGACACCTTTGAAAATTGGATGAATTTTTTACTAAAGTGCCATGAATTTGTCAGAAGAGCCACATGCAGTATCATGCATCAAGAGGATGTTAGATAATGCAAATAGTAATGGTTTAGTATTGCCATTTGTGAAATTGTTTCTTATCTTGTCATCAACAAAACTTTGTGTCTGCATGTGTAAACAGTAAAATCTTGTTACAACAAACTCCTGGGGACCTGAAGAAAAATTTGTTATGAAAAAAATTTGCTGTATGGAGATTAATGATTTTTAGCACATTTCAGAGTGCAATTTTATTGGAAATGGGGAATACATACTTTGAAATGCTTCTAAAATACAGAATTCAAGATCTAGCAAGATTAATGATTACTTCTGATGAAATGAAGAGAAATCCATTAATATCAGAAGTACTCTCCTTTAAATAAACAAACATTTGTACTGGAGTATTGCTGGTCATGAAAAATTAAAACAAAATTACATTTGGTAAGCATGCTTCCTTTCCTTCTCAATCAACTTATCCACCTATGGCTCTTTCTAAAATAGAGGAACATTCTTCTAAAATATTGTTTATTTGAAAATTGCATCTTCTAAAATGGATCAGCTGAAGGATTTCAAAAAATATTTCCCGTTGGGTATTTTTTGGATAGCAAGTTTTCTTTGCATAAAGATTTTTTATGAAGTTGTTAGGCTGCATTTTTTAAATTTTTTCAACAATTTATTTCATTTCTTGAGTAATCCCTATATGGGCTGTGCACAGAATCATGTCAAAAAAGTCATTATAATGGGATTACAGCCTAAAATTACTTTGTTATAATGAAATTTTTATAACAGTGTGCCTATGGGAAACTGCCAGGACCAAGAAAAAAATTCTTTATAACAAGCTTCGTTGTAACTGAATTCTATACTGCATATATATATATATATAGATCCAAACGCCCAGGTTTCTCCACTTACGTCATGGGCCAATTATCCCAAGTGGGGTCGGATTTCTACGACATGGACCTGGACATAGAAATCAAGGAGATGTCCAGCAGCAGTGACCAGACCCTCACGTCAGCCACACACACCACAGTTTTCTCGTTGCGATTCGAAAACACTGCCTTTGTGGAGAACCTTCAGCAGCAGTTGATGCGAGAAAAGGCCGTGGGGAAAATGCCGGCAGTCAAAAGCGGGCTTTTCCTGAATCTGTTCCCGTTCTGCGTCATTTTCGACCGGGACATGATCATCATTGATGCTGGGATCAAATTGGTGGAGTTGATTGGGACTGATGATTTTGTGGGCAACAAGTTTGGACGGTATCTCACCATTCGGAGGCCGAAAATGGAAGGAGTCTATGAGGAGGGGAGTGCATATATTTTGTTTTTCTACTATTGCTGGAAGCTGTCAAAATTGTGAATTCAAACTGTGCAGGGAGAACGTTTTATTTCAATTTTTTGATTTTGTCCAGAAAAAAACTGTGTTCAATTTTGGTTTCAAACAATGTGAAGACCGTATTTTGGTTTGTATTTACGCAGTATAAGCACATAAAAGAGACCCCAAGATGTGGACATAATTGGTGCATCAAGAGTGTCCCCAAGTTGAAATGTCCCCAAGTCAAGTCTCATTTTCCCTTGGACTTACATTATATAATTTTAATTGGTGTTTTATTGACAAAATACTCACCATAATTCCATGAAAATAAAAATTGTCTCCCAATTGAAATTGATTCAATAAATATATTTCAACGCAATATGGACTTTTGGAGAATTGAATACTGATACCTCTGAACAGTACATAGAAATGTCCAATTGAAATTGATTCAATAAATATATTTCAACGCAATATGTACTTTTGGAGAATTGAATACTGATACCTCTGAACAGTACATAGAAATGTTGGCATTCTCTGTGAAAATAACATTCAAGTGAAAAAGAGAGAAGTCCCTCTTTGCTGGAGGTAATTTGTTAAAATTAGCTAAATGGATGGTAAATTGGTGAGAGAAATGCCCAAGAACTTTTGTTACATCAATTTTATTGTTGCAAATATCAGTTTCTTGTAATTTGGCCTGAAACTTTTTGCAATTTGATCAAAAAATGTCCCAATGTTGAGTCAGTGTTGTCCTCATGCCAGGCCTTTTTATTACCTTTTTATGAAAAGATAAGTGATGTCTCTTTGTCAAATTATTTGCATGCCAATGTGTCCACATTTTGTGGTCTCATATTGTACATATTTGTGGTTGCGTTGAAAAAAATTATTTTCCTTGTTTTTTGGTGTTATTGAATATTGGCAGGTCTGATCATCTGATGTGGAAATGTTTTATACATAGTCATCAATTTTGAGAATCTCATTACAACAACTTTTTCAGCATAGCAAACTTTTTCTGAAGTATCCCAAAAGTCTGTTTGTTATGAGATTGAACTGTATTCATTGTATATTTATTTCAATAAGCCTCAATTTTCATTCAGGAATAGAAAGAATTTTTAAAGATATTTCAACAATTGAGGGAAAGGATTTCATCAATTTCATACCAGGCTTGACATTAAACAGTCCATTCACTTAAAAGTATATACTGTACAGACCATTATTTATTGTAAATTTTATTTGGAACAATTTCAGGAATGCTTTGAATGTATGTACTCTCAATATAACCACCAAAATAAGTCATAGAATTTGTGTAGTTTCCAGTAGAAAACATTGCAAATGTAACAGTGTTTTTCATGAAATTGAAGTAGTTCAGATGACAATAAGTCTTGCTCACAACAACTTTCTGAATTTCTCAAACCTTAAATTCAGGAAAATGAAAAACTAGTCTCTTATTTTCTGTTTGTAGTCCTCAATTTTTGGAAAAATTTCAAACTTTGAATTAAAATTTGATTGACTTTGAGCATTTTTTGACAAACAACTTTAGTTTTTCTCCGAATGTGTTGTTGTGCGAGTCTTTTGTTATAAGCAGGAATGACTCACTGCATAGATTTCAGCAACAACAAAAATTGGGTATATCCTCATTTTGAGCACCAATATTTTCCATGAAATATGCAGTTTTATAAATTTGTTTTCTGCAGATATCCCAGTTGCAGAACGTATTTTTTGAGATACAAGTCTCAAAGAAAGGTTCAGTGACAAATAGCGCCATTGACGAAATGACCAACGGCCAGTTGCCCGGATCCACCACAAATGCCAATGTGTCAACTGCTGAGGAAGAAGAGGTTTCCCAATTTCCCTCAGAACGTAGGGGATCAGTGACCAATAAGCCTCTATTACTCAGAGGAAGGATGAATGTCATGCCTGAATGGGGCTGTTTGGCCTTCATTTGCATGCCTTTGTGAGTTGCTTTTCAAAAAGTTGACATTCATTTTCAAAATGAATGATTTTTTTGGTTCACCCACAAAAGAGGAAAAAATTTGAAAGGGTAAAAAGTGAGGAAATAATAAGGTTGACCCTAATGATTTCCCCCTTAATTTGCTGCCAGTTCAAGTGTTAATGATTAATTCAAAATTTGTTTCAGTCTCAATTAAAATAATAATAATGTTCTTGGTCAATGAGGTAACATGAAATTCAGTTTCATTGTCTCTATATTGCAAAAAACTAAATTAAATTGTCTCATCCATTACATGAAACTACTTTTCACTGTTTTATAATGACATGAAACTAAAGTAAATGGTTATCTTCAAACAAATAATTTTGTTTGGCTCAATTACATGAAACTTATTTTTATTGTGTTATCCAAAAACTATAATTTAAAAGTTAGTGGTCAACAATGATCAGTCGTTGATAACTTACTTTCTATAATTAGTGGAATAGGGGATAGGAGATTTAAATCATTTTTCGCAACTTTCAAAGGAAACACAAAAGTTACTCCGTGAGAGTATTTCAAATATTTATTTATTATATCTTCACACACAGTCAATACAATACAATACTACAAAGCAAAGTGGTGTGGATTCGGCGTTTGCTCAGAGTCTGGTGCAGTATACTTAACGCAACATAAAATGCACCTGTATATATAGCTTTGGCCGGTCAAGGTCAAAGAATGCGCATAGAAACCAATTTGGATTGGGGACATCACACTTTGTTTATTCAAAGGAAGGAAGAGTGAACGCGGTTGGGAAAGTATTCTGTCAACAACGGGATTGCGAAATATAATTGCTAGCGCACCAGGCAAAGCCAAGCTTAGCAGAAATACATTAGCTTAAAAGGGTTGTGCAGAAAGTGAAGGGTGTTGTGGTTGCTAATATGACTACAATTGTCTTAATTTTCACATAGAACTAATTTAAATTTTCTTCATTTCATAAAATTAATTTTATTTCTCTCAATTATTACCTGGAACTAACTTTGATTGTCTCAATTGCATAAAACTAATTTTCATTGTCTCAAATGAAATGACAGCATTGAAATATTTTGGACAACCATTCATAGTCAAATTTTAAAAAGCTTGGTATGTCTGCCATTTATGTTCAAAAAAACTCAAGTGGGAATCTTCATTTTCTTAAACTGGTTATGCATTGTCAAGCATGACAACTGGTATTTCTAAACCATCTGAAGAGTTTCAAAAGCAACCTCTTTTACTCTTGAAAATGTTGTGATTAGATTTCTTTATAACTTACTCAAATTCTTGGATACCTTTTTCTGCAAAAGGCAAAATCAATAATCTGAAATATTTATACTGTAGTAACATATATATCAGAGCATTTCTTTTGCAGTGTATTGATTCTTTTTTTCAATTCATCATTGCTGATGAATCTTCATAAAAATATCCAAGTGTCTCAGAATGGAGTCCATTGGTATAAAAATTCTCAGGCAATTTCTGCTTGAATGCTGAGGTGAACAAATGCTATAGATGATGCGGCTCTAGAAATATTTGGTGATATATGGAGAAATCAGATAAATCTCTAATAATTTTGTGCAGAAAAGTTGCCCATGTCAAGCCTGCATAATCAAAGAAAATACATCCCAAATAACCAGAGAATTGCCTCAAGTCTTTCATTGATCTCATATATACAGTTTTTAAAGTGCTTTCTGATGAAAAACAGGGATACACCATGAATTTAAAGTTGTATAATGACACAAATGTTGACATATATGTCATTTATCTTCAGGCCACATTTATCATAATTCCACCAGTAAATCCATTTTTCACATATGCTCACAATCATGCAGTTAATATTTCTTGTTTTTCTATATATTTTCAGAATCAGCAGCTTGGATGAACTCCAGCAGTTGGGTTTGTTTCTCACAGATCTGAGCATGCATGACTTGAGCAGGGAAATGGTTCTGGCAGGGTGGCAACACAATGCCAAGTGAGTACTCTTGAAAATTACCATTGTGCCCTTTCTCCAGGAATTATCCTCCAGACATGTGTATCAATTATTGGGACATTTTGCAAGTATTGGTCAATCAGGAATCCTTTTATTTGAGCACAGAAAATGTATAATAAGATGCAAGTGCCTAACCTTCAGTTTATAAAAAAAAATAACTTATTGTGGCAGAATGAAAACTCTGTTTTTGGCATATGGACCAGAATAAGTTTTTGTTTGTATCACCTCTGAATTGAAATTGAATTGAAGTTGGAAAGTTGTGCTTAACATCAAAAACCAACATAAGAATATTTTTTTTGCAGCCTTTTTTCATAGCAATTTGTGATTGCCATGCAAAACAAATCCAGGCACTTTCATAATTTTTTAACCCTTTTAGTGCCTACCTATTATAAAGCATCAGAAATCTCTTCAAACTTTTATATCTAAAGTAGCAACTATTATTATTGCATTCTGAACTATTTATTCATTTTTTTAGCTTATTAAAATTTCATTCTCAAAAGGTTTCAGAGTCACTTGAGCTGAATCTGTTTCAGCCATAAAGCTGGTTATTTGAAATTGATGGTGATCAGAAATGCATGGAATTAAGTTTGCATCCAAGATTATTGTGCTGTTGATGCACTTCCATGCAGTGCTTGAAAATTTGAAAATTACCTTTTCAATGTTTGATGCAAATGTATGGATTATAAAATGAGATCAATAAAGAGATTAACTACACAAAATCTCAAATTTCATGAGTGATTTGATTTGAAACTCATTTTGCTGTGAAATAATTTCTCAGGATATGTGTTTGTGAGTGGATGATTTTCAGGAAAAAAAAACATGCATGGAAAAAGCCACAGAGTTGAAGATCATTTGTGTGGATATTTTTTACACTTTTAAATTGATAGAGGAGATAGAAGATAACATGCATCAATGTGCATATTGAGGCATCAGCAGCATATTTCTTGCCCTGATTTGGTCTTCTTTATAAAAAGTTCTGTCCTTTGCTTTTTAGTCTTACTTGAAAAACATGGTTTTTTAGATTAATTTTTTAATCTACTATAATTATTATGAAGATTCTTTAAGATTCACACTTTAGTAACCTTCTTGAAAGTCGACAAAGTTTGTCTGAAACTTAAAGTTAATGAAGTACTACAACTCAGTAAATAAAAAAGATAAGAGAAAAATAAAATTTCAAACCTTCACACATTTGAGAAGCAAGAAGAAAGAAGTCAGAGACTGGAGGAAAGCTTGAACTTGCTTGACCAGTGGAAACAGAGAGGAGATGAATTGCTGTATTCCATGATCCCACAAACTGTGGCAGAAAAACTGAGGGTTGGAGGGGATTCCATATCCACCTGTCAGGTGAGAATAAGGAAAATGTATCAGGGGTTTTCCCAAAAGTCCTTGCAGTTCTTAAATCATTTTTATTCCTTGCAAGTGATTGAATTGAATTGAGCAGCAAGCTTTGAAAAATTACATGATTTTTTTTTATTTGGCCCATAATGGCATGAAAACGCCCTCCCAATGCATTTTGAAACGTCCAAATTATTTGCTGGGCATTCAGTTTTTTCTGAGAATTTTCTTCAAGTTTAAGCTTATTTTCATAATGAGAACTTTTCAATTTTTTGGCAATTTTCAAATACAAAATATAAAAAAATTTATTTTGTGTAGAAATCTTCAAATTTTCACATCAAGTGGATGATGAGTCTCCCATTTTTCAGCAGGGGATTTTGATAACTTAAAAAACATTCTGGAAAGGATGCAATGTTTTCTATAGAAAAATTTTAAATAAGTTTCAGAATTAAATTTTATTCCAGATTTTTCTGGGCTGATATAAAAATGATAGGAAATTTTCTTGCCTTTATTCCAAAAAAAATGAAATTCTAAGATTTGGAGATAAATTTTTATCTGAATCAAATCTCATCTGTAATTAGCAGCAAATTTTTTTTTTGTGATTTGCAAGACTTATCAGAAACTCTTCAGAGGTCTTTAATTTTTCTGTCCCCACTTTTGAAGATCCTCATTATATGACCAATATAATAGTCTTTTCGTGACGTCAATTTTCACATGACAAATGTCAATTTTCTTCATCTGCGTGTGGAACTTGAGTCACGCGAAATTTGACAAACCAGCTGTCTGATTTATTTATGAATCATAGCGTGACTATAGTTTAGGCCTCATGGATATTATTATTCAGCTGCTGAAAAATGGAGTCGAACAGCGCAAAAAAATTGTTCAAGTGCTGTTGCCTTATTTATATACTAATATACTGATTTATTCCCTTGTTTTGAATATTCAGTCGATTGAAGAGGTCACGGTTATATTTTCCGAGCTCATAATGGCAAATCAGGATTCTATGGCTCCTATGGAAATTGTCACTTGCATGAATGCTGTTTTCTCTGCTTTTGATGCCATTATGGATCGCCACGATGTGTACAAGGTATTGTGCATTTTTGCCTAATTTATTCCTGATTCCATTTGATGCTTGAATCATAAATGAATTGCTCATGTTTTTTCTTGAGTATCATTAAAATTTTCAAAATATTTTTTGAACGAAATGGTTTCTTTAAACAGGATTTTTCTATAATGATGAAAATAATGTGGAGAAATGATTGATTATTTATTTTGAATTACTTTCTTCCCTTTTTTGGCAGTCTTGAATGAAATTTAATGTTGAGGTCTTTCCAGTACAGCCACAGTTTTATTTGAGTATCATTATGACTTTTTCCATTATTGCTGTTATGATGAAAATATATTTAAGACAAAAGAATTTCTTTTAACAAGATTTTCCTATATTTAAAATATGAAGAAATGATTGAAGATTTATTTTGAATTACTTTCTTTCCTTTTTTAACAGTCTTGAATGAAATTTAATGTTGAGGTCTCTCAGCTAGTACAGCCACAATTTTATTTTAATATCATTATGATTTTCTCCATTATTTCTGTTATGATGAAAATATATTTTATATAAAACTATTTATTTTAAAAAGATTTTCCTATATTTAAAATTTGAAGAAATGATTGAAGATTTATTTGGAATGACTCTTTCCTTTTTGGTAGAGTCATCTTGAATCAAATTCATTGCTGAGGCATTTCCAGTAGAACCAGAATTTTATTTGAGTAACATTATAATTTTCTTCATTCCTGTTATGATGAAAGTATTTTTAAAGGCAAAAAACACATTTTTATTTTTTTTTAAATGCCCCTATATGAATTAAAATATAAAAAAATGATTGATATAGTTTATTTTAAATGACTCATCTTTCCCCTTTTGCTGATAGTGTTGAATCAAATTCACTTTTGAGGTCTTTCCAGTGCAGCCACAATTTTATTTGAGTATCATTATAATTTTCTTCATTGCTGTTATGATGAAAATATTTGTTGTACAAGGAGACTTTATTCTATAACAATATTTTCCTATATTAGAAATAGGAAAAACTTTATTATTATTTATTCAAAATAACTCCTTCCTTTCTTTTTTGTATTGTTTAAATCTGTAACTGTTTCTACTTTATTGTTTCCTGATTGAGAATAAAAATAGGACACCTGATAATATGCATATTTTGGGTGGTTTTTTTTTCAATAACAGGTGGAAACCATTGGTCAAATTTACATGTGCGTCTCAGGTGCTCCAGACCCAAACCCAAGACACGCCACCAGTTCAGCACGTGTCGCCATTGCCATGTTGAGGGACATGCACAGGATTAGGGCCAGCTCTGAAGCTTACAGCCAATGTACCATTCGCCTAGGTACTGATTCATTGTATAAAAAGAAAGGACAGAACTTTTTATAAAGAAGACCAAATCAGGGCAAGAAATATGCTGCTGATGCCTCAATATGCACATTGATGCATGTTATCTTCTATCTCCTCTATCAATTTAAAAGTGGAAAAAATAAGAGGCTTATTTTGTCAAGAAGATGTTAAAGAGTGTCTGCTGTGTACCTCTAAAGGTTTTTAAAATATGCCTGTGACTTCTGAAGACAGCTCAGAAGCTAATGTACAGCCAGTGTATTATTCACTAGGGTATTATACTGTACTGTAATATAGACCCAGGAAAACCTGAGGCATTTTGAGAAAGGGCGTCAGAAAGTTGCAGGGAAATGACCCATGAAGATATTCGTAAAGATCCTGTTTTTTGTAGCCTGTGAATAAGTGATGTGAAGCAGGCCCATCTCATGCTGACATGCTCCCAGAAAACTCAATATTCACTTGAAAAAAGACATGTGACAATTTGCAGTAGAATTACATGATCAAAAGTAACAGGGGTTTAACATGTAAAACGCGCGTCACAAAAAAATTTTGGGCCCTTCTGACCCAGGACAAAGAAATTAGGTTCAGTGAAAGAATGACACAAATAATTGGCCGTTTGCGGCCTGAGGTAGATCCTTACTCTTTGAGAGTATATTTGCAGTTTGATAAAAATGTCCAACACAGAATTCAAGCTTTGTTCAAGTGATGTTTGCATGCACACTTCAGGAACATGAATGATGGTGATGATGAGGGTTGAGATTCAGGTTCAGATCCATTCCAATGGAAATGAACCTGAAGGCCAGTTTCCTAGAGCTGGGTCCTGTGTTTCATGAAAATCCTTTTGATGAGGATTACTCATGATGTTTCATAATGGTTTGAGAATTATTCCATGAAGGTTTCATAACTTCATGGAATATTCATATTATATAACTTTTATTCTTGTGAGTTCTAGAGAACTCCAGTAGCTTCCAAGCAACATGGCGCGACCATGAGCAACATCTAGTTGCTTCACGGTGCAATCTTGTGTACTTTGGGTGACATCTAGTCAACCCACAACAAGATGTACAGTGATGTATTTGTATCCTATTTTTCACTATTAGTTTAAAAGTGGTAAAAATGAGAGAAATATTCAGGGAGTGTTAAAAAGTGTCTCTTTATATACCTCTTCAAAGGACTGAAGTCTTCAAAGAATACCAAGTAAAAAATACAGTTCTTTTATTCCTTAGTATGGACAGTAATGTGTGTTATCCTATTTTCCGTATCAATTTGAAAGTAGAAAAATAAGGGAAATACTGTATTGAAGTAAGTGTTCAAAAGTGTCTCTATATAACTCTTTATAAAGGTTCTCAAACCCTGTGAACTTTTGAAGCTTATATATACAGTCAGTACACCACTTATGTTGAGGTACAGTTTTGTATCGGAAAAAAGGACTGAACTCTTAGATATTAAAGAAGACCCCAAATTAGGACATGAAATATACTGGTGCCTCATTTACAGCAATGTATGTTATCCTATGTTTACTATATCTCAATTTAAAAGTACTGTATTAAAATCTGAGAAATATCAAGAGGATGCTATAAAAAGAGTTTCTGTGTATACCTCTTCAGAGTTTCTTAACCCCTTGATCATGCTGGTATGAGTGTTACCCAACTGGCTTCCATTTATTGTGCATTATTGTAATTTTATTTTGCTACAATAAATAAACAAAGCATCAAGGCAAAACATTATACAGTACACTAATTCTCTCAGTATACAGTACATATTTGCATATTTTCTATCAAAAGATAATAGGTGCCAGGAGCAGTGAAGCCTTGGTTTCTCAAAGTAACTGCTGGGGAACACTTTCAGACATGAAACTGGTCTTTTCTCAATGCCCCATGGACAAACTATATAGGTTTGCATTTCAAGATATTGTTGACTGCTGCAAAGAATGTATGAATTTATTGTGGTACTTGGTATTTCATTTAACATCAATTCCTTTTCAATGGATTTGATTTGAGCATGAGGTTGATACCTTTTTTGATACAATTTATTGGGTCAATTCAAGTGCTTTCATCAAAAACTAGCAGGATAAGTAATCCAATACAGTATTTAATACATTGCAAAAATAAACTTCATCTTCATCCATGTAACAGCAGGCTGACAGAGCTCATTGAAATGAACCTTGCATGCTTGTTTTCACAGGGATGAGCAGTGGTGCTGTGGTGGCAGGTGTGGTTGGCCTCAAGTTGCCAAGATACTGCATGTTTGGTGACACAGTCAACACAGCATCCAGAATGCAGTCATCTGGCTTGGTAACCTTGAATAATTCACCATCCATAATAATCCAAACATAAAAATTACCTGATTTATGTCTGCAATGTTTCTCTTCAACTATGATGCAAGGTTTAAATGTATTAAAGCAGAAAAAAAACACAGGAAGCTTCTGGAATCTGAGACAGGGAGGAGTGCAAGCTGGCTTAATTTATGAAAGTTTTGGGTATAATGAAAAACATGGGAAACTGTACAAACCTGTCAATAATTGGCATCTTGCCAATGGCACCATCTTATTTCAGGCGCAGTCTATTTTATGGCACCATCTTATATTTACAGTATTCTTGGAATTATTGAGTCAGTATAGGAAGCTTAATTATCCTCAGAAAGATTTTAAAATCATGGGACACATTTTATTTTTTCAAAAAATGTCCAAGGAAATTTCTGAAAGTTCCTGGAACAGTTGGAGATAACTCCTGCACAGAAGGAATATATCAGACCATTTGCATGATATGGTAAATTGTGTCACCTAAAAGATTTTTATCAAATAGCCTTTACAACATATAGTGCTTTGAATCTTTTTTTTAAAGCATGTTCTTTTCCAAACACAGGAGAAATGCCCAGGTTTTTTTCAATGAATAAAAATAATTCACCCAGTGCCATTCACAACTGTATGTTTTTTTAATATGGATTGAAAACCTCATCACAGGCAGAAGTAATCCACCTAATTAATGTCAAAATTTGAAATTTTCCATTCATTGCTGATTCAGGGTAAATATGTGATCTATAGATTGTGAGAGCATCACCCTTCAATGCATTCTTGGGTTCTCTGCCAACTTCACTGATTTGTGCTCTATTCTTGAAGAACATTCTGCATTCAAAGCAAAAGAAGTAGTTTATACTGATATATCCACCTGCTGGATTTGTGTCAAGTTGTATTTTCAACTTGATTGATTATACAGTAGTAAAATGTGATGCATAATCAAGCAAACTAGTAGTAGAGCGTCCGCAGTGAAATCTTTTCAAATCTTTTCAGAACCACGGTATTTCAAATACCGCGTTTTTTTTTCAAATAAAAAATTTTCAATCTCATTTCTAGCCAGGGAAGGTGCATCTATCAGAGCTGTGCAAGAAATTCCTGGAGGAAACAGAGTTCAATGTGGAATACCGAGGACTCATTACAGTGAAGGTATTCAAAATCTATTTCTGAAAATCCCCAGGAAAAAATGCATTCAAAAATTTAGATTATGTTGGTGTTGGTCTGGTACGCCATCCACAAAAAGGAAGTTTATATTGCATTCTATGATTTGTTTGCAATGTGCTACTGTAATCCATTCTTTGTTTTTTAGTTGATGTACAGTACTGTTCTTTCCTCACCTTCCATTGGTTCCTTTAACAAAAAACAATCCATTTTTCACTCTATGCATATATATGACAATTTAGATTTTTCTATTTACATGATGTCTCCAAGTTTTCTGTGCTGCTCTTTACAAAAAGGTAGAGCACAGATTCACTCCCTTCTATATATATACATATATAAAGGTTGCAATATAGCAACCTGAGAATTGAAAGCATAAAAGATATTTTAAGGAGCTTTTTCAGTCTTTTGTTACCTATTTAATGAACTTCATATTTACAAATACTGTAAGTATAGTAGTGGATCACTTTTTGGGCCAGTTTTTGTTCAAAACACTTGAATTGATGCTATAAAATTGTATCAACACATAGATCAATCTTTTGCTTACATCAAACCAATACCATGCATCTTTGAGAGAAAATTATGATCAACAAAGATTAAAATACATGCATAAATTAATCTTTACAGTCGGAAATGTTATTGACAAAGGTGAATTTATTTTACATCAGCATCAGAAAAATGATTCTTCTATGTATACAGTATTCATATTACTCTGCATTAACATGTCACCCAAAGTACTTTTAGTCTCATAACATAAAAAACTATAAGACATTTTTGATGTTATGGTTGACATTCACAAATAATCAGTGTTAATTGTCTTTTTCATTAAAGGGGAAAGGTGACCTGCGAACATATTGGCTCATCACACCAGATTTTGCCAATGGAGTGGATGAAACAACCACAAACCAATGAGCAGCACACTATTTGTCAGCATGAGAAACTGCAGGAAGAAAACCTCAACAAAGCAAACATTTCCTGTAGTTAACTTTTTGAACCAAATTGGATTTGAAGAAACATATAAGATAAATAGAGACAAGCCCAGGTGTTTTTGTGTCAACATTTGATTGTAGACAGTGGAAACACCATTCCTTTCTGCTGAATGTTCAAAAGTCTGATTTATGGTGTTGTGTATAATTCATGGAGTGTGATCAGGTGTGTAAAGCTGCATGTTGGAGAAAATATAGTTGCAGATATTCACTGATTATTTTTGTGATTTATTTCTGAAACAGCCTTCATCAACTGTCAGCATGAAGAATGTACAGTATAATCCTCCACAATACTGGACAATAAAATCTTATTACTGTACAATGCACTTGAGGGGAACTTTATCATCAGAAAAAGTTTGTTATAACAAGATTTTCAAAATTGATTGACTGCTGGGAAGCTTGTTTTACATTGTAACCCTGCATATATTCAAGATCTTAATTTTGTGGCCTTTTCAGATTTTTTCCCATTTTTGATGAAACAGTTGAAAAGAAATTCAAATGTAAATACAGTAACAAATCATTCAATTTGAATAACTGTCCCTTCACGCTGGTAAACACATAGCAATTGTTTAGCTTTTCTAAGGGAGCCCTCAAATTGTCCACTATTATAGGTACATTTGTATAAGGTCAATTGCAAAAATTAGCAAAAGAAAATGAACACATCCCAGAAGATAGAGACCAAAAAATAATCACAATTCTTCTTTCACAGCAGCATTTTAGAGAGAATATTGCCTTTTATTATCAAAACTTATTGTGCAGCATGAACAGAGAATTGTCATTCAAATTTTAAATGTACTGTACTGTATTCCTGATCCAACCATCAGTGACATCTACTGTACTCACTATCAAAATCATGCATTCCATGATTTCAAGGGAAGTTGAGACCCTATTTACCTCCAAAAGAATAAGTAGTCCTCAGTTGTCTATAAGTGTGTCCTGAAACACATTTAGAATACCCAGTTCTTGTTTCTGATTTTCCAGATTTACTTTCCCGAGGCCACATAGCAACAGTGAATTGCTCAACAAAAGCATGTAAACTGCAGTGTCTGGTCACCAGTCATTTACATTTTGACCATTGGTTTCATTTATTTTTCTTTTTAGTCATCAGCCTCCATCATGTAGGCCAAATCTATAGAAGAGCACCTGAGCACTTCTTTCACTACTCATTGTTGGTCTGGAGTTCTGGACAATCTCTTGGACATTTGAGAAATACAGATATTCCACCTTTCTAAGTGAGAAATACTGTACATACATTTAAAATACCCCAGCCATAAGAACTAAAACTACTTGTAAAATTCTATCTGGTAGGGATTTTAAAGTGAGTTTCGAGCTTACAGCAAAGAAGATGTTCAACTCAATTTCCTCATTATTTTGGTCAATACTTGGGCAACATAGGCTAACAAAGTTCAAAATAATTGAAAACATAATCACACACAGCATTGTTAATATAAATTATTGCTGATATTTTTGTCATCTCACCCAGAGGACAAACCTTCATTTCTGCACCAAAAAGCAGAAAACAAACATAAGTCTTTGACTTGGACCACCAACAATTTTGAAGAAAACCAACAACAAAACAAAATCCTGGGGATCTTCCTCAAATAACACAAATTTAAATTTGAAAAGAAACAAAACCACTCACTTCTTGGAAATAAGGGGAACACTCAGGTATAACGGTTTTCTTTTTTGGCCTCAAGGGACACAAATAATGACTTGAATCAAAATGGACCTCATCAACAATAACCGACACACTGATAATGGATTCAAGGAGGAGTGATAAAATTGGCAAACAATGGCACGCCAACCAGAGCCCATCCCAGGAAAAACACGTGGACAGCGACTGCGTCCAGCATTTTGCGACTGACCAGGTATTTGATGTTCTTGACCAGGTCCCAAATTGTCCCAGGCTCCAGGCAAAAGTCCTTTTTTTCCCCCACAAAAAACGGAAGAGACAATTTTAAAAAACCACACACAAACACACACGTTTAACTTCAAAGCCAGGTATGAAATGAATGACAGGAGTTATTGAAAAGGTCTTGAACTTTCAGATGAAATGACTTGAAAAAAAAAACTTTATACAGTACTTTTGGTCTTCTCATAGTTCTGGATATTTCCTAGATTTTTTTTCCTGCTTCTGGACTCGAGATTTCAATGTTTCAAAATACAGTGAGACCCCCACATGCCAACACCTTGACCTGCAGACAATTTGACATAGGGACACTTACTTTCCCATAACAAAATTAATAAAAAAGACCCTACATGAGGAAACTGACTCAACATAGGGAAATTTTGTGATAAAATTGCAAATACATTTCAGGCCAAATTA